TAGAGGGAATTTAAAGCCTTGAGATCAAATGGGGTCACCTACAAAGTAAATGTAAATACAGAAGTTTAGCCCTGGCTGGTCAGGCTCAGCAGTTAGAGTGTTGGCCTGAGGACCACAGAGTCTTGGGTTTGATTCCTGGTCAAGGGCATGTGCCTTGGTTGCAGGTTTGATCCCCAACCCTGGCTGGGGTCATGTGGGATGCAACCAGTCAATGTGTCTCTCTCACATCAATGTTTCTCTCTCTCCTTCCCTCCCACTCTATCTTAAAAAAAAAAAAAAAGTCTAATAACTATGCTCTAGGTCGCTCCTATATTAACAAGTAGGGAAAATGAGGGAGAACCAGTAAAGAAGGCCAAGCAGGAACAGCCAGTGAGGGAGGAGGAGAACCAAGAGAGATTGATGCCTTAGAAACAAGTGAAGAATGTGATTAAAGGAGAGATCAACTATGTCACATGCTGCGAGAGGTCAAATAAGGGCGCTCAGACTGGATAAGTGGCTTAGGAATATGAAAGTGTTTCAGGATTTTGGCAACTTTGAAGAGTCCCTCCCCATTCCAGAGGTAAAGTGGGGCAAAAGTCTGATTAGAGCGGGAGATCACATTGGCTACAGCAGGGAGTGGACAGTGGTGGGAAAGCGTGGATATGAGTGAAACTAATAGAAATAGTCATGGGTGAGATGACTGGGACTAAAAGAAATGGTGAGAAGTAAGTAGATTCAAAGATATTTAGGGGTTGGTATTAACAGGTCTTGGAAATAGATTGGCTGAGAGTAGGGGATAGAGTAGGAGGAGGGAAAGATGACACCTATGCTCTGGTAGGAGTGGTGGTCGAGTTTACTGAGATCAGTGCAGGCAGGAGAGGAGGTACGCAAAGGAAGATGACAGGCTCAATTTTTGAATATAGTGAATTGTTTGTAACAATTGGATCCATGTGTGTCTGTAGCATGGAAGAGAAGTCTAGACTGAAGATAAGTATTTGAAAGTCATCAAACTGTAAAGCAATTTAAGTAATTGGAGTGGTTGAGATTTTCCTAAAGAAACAACTACAAGAGCAGAAGACCCGAGTCTGGGGAAAACAATATGTACATGTACATTACTGTTGTCTCATCTTTCCCTTCCCTCCCTCTCTTAGCCACTATGAGCAAATAGAACCAGATGTAACTTTAAACAAAACCAGGAAGTTGTTCCAGTAAAGAGGTACTTCATCACAAGAGGGAAGAGAAAGCAAAGGCAGCAGAACTTGACTGGTTCACAAGCAACATGAAACTGTGCTGCTGTATGACTGTGCAGCAGTCCTGCTAAATCTGCCATCCTTCTACTTCCTTTCCTTCGTGAAGAGGCAACAAACTGTAAGATGAAACTATCATGAGGAAGGAGAGCTAAGGGCTGTGTGGCACTAGGTGTTCTATAATCCCCGTCAGGCCTGGTAACACCATCTGGCAGATGAGGAAACAGACTTAGAAAGGCCAGACAAGCCCTGGCCAGTTTGGCTCAGCGGTAGTGCATCGGCCTGCGGTCCAGAGAGACCCAGGTTCGGTTCCCGCTAAGGGCATGTACCTCGGTTGCAGTTTGTCCCCGGCCCTGGTTGGGTCGTGCGGGTGGCAACCACTCGATGTGTCTCTTTCACATCGATGTTTCTCTCTCTCTCTCTCTTCCTGTCTTTCCCTCCCACTCTATCTGAACAAAAAACGGAAAAATGTCCTTGGGTGAGGATAAAAAAAAAAAAGAAAGGCCAGACAAGCCCTGGCCAGTGTTCTCAGTGGTTAGATCGTCAGCCCATGCACCATAAGGTCTTGGGTTTGATTCCTGGTCCCAGTCAGGGTGCATATGGGAGGCAACCAAATGAAGTATCTCTCTCACACTGATGTTCTTCTCTCTTTCTCCCTCCCTCCCTTTCACTCTCTCTAAATATCAATGGAAAAAGTATCATCAGGTAAGAATTAAAAAAAAAAAAAAAAGACCTGATGACTTGACTAATGTCACACAAAGACCTGTATCCACACTACATGGAGGAGGGAGGAGAAAAACCCTGCTCAACAAATTCTTGAGGTAGAGACAGTGTGAAAGGCTCCTGGGCTCAGGTGCACCATTTCAACGTGAAGGACTAGGCCCTCCCTTAGACCTTGTGGTGAAGCCAGAGCAACTGAGCTAGTACTTACAAGCTCTCCTTTTGAGGATGGATCACTTGCCAGGTACAGCATAGCAGTCCCAGGACACTGGTTGAGAAAAGCCCAGCAGCCTCTCAAATTCCCCATGTAAGTCTTCAGGGCCAAGGCTGGCCGTAGGAGGAGCCAGAATAGATATAATCTTCAAATAGGGGTAATGGACAGGGCTCCTGCCTTCTCCTCATCTCTCACTTCGAGCTGTTGACTGTGCCTATTTTCTTTCCCTCTCCTGCATCTTCCCCTTCTCCCTTTCTCTACTCCATTAGTATACAGAAAGTTATAACTGGTCCTATATTTAAGATTTCTTTAAAAAAATGTATCTTTATTGTTGAAAGTATTACAGATGTCCTCCTTTCCCCTCCCAACCCTGTTGACACCCTCCTTCCCATTCCTGTCCCCCGACTGCCTTCACTACAGTTATCTGTGTCCGTTGGTTATGCATATATGCGTGTAAGTTAACTTTGGTTTTTCTTTTCCTGTCCCCAAACCTCTCTTTCCCCTGAGGTTTGTCAGTCTGTTCCCTACCTCCATGTCTCTGGATCTATTTTGTTCATTATATTCCACAAATAAGTGAGATCATGTGATGCTTATCTTTCTTTCATTGGCTTATTTCACTTAGCATAATGCTTTCCAGGTCCCTCCATGCTGTCTCAAAATGTAAGAGATCTTTCTTTTTTTTCAGATGCATAGTATTCCATTGTATAAATGTACCACATCTTTTTTATCCACTCATTTACTGATTGACACTTGGGCTGTTTCCAGATCTTAGCTTTTGTAAATAGTGCTGCTATGAACATAGGGGTGCATATATTCTTTCTGATTGGTGTTTCAGGCTTCTTAGTATATATTCCTAAAAGTGGGACCACTGGGTCAAATGGCAGTTCAATTTTTAATTTTTTTGAGGAAACACCATATTGTTTTCCACAGTGGCTGGGCCAGTCTGGCTCAGTGGTTAGAGCGTCGGCCCGCAGACCAGAGAGACTGGGGTTCGGTTTCCGCTAAGGGCACGTACCTCGGTTGCTGTTTGTCGCTGGCCCCGGTTTGGGTCGTGTGGGTGGCAACCACTCAATATGTCTTTCTCATGTTGATGTTTCTCTCTCTTCCTCCCTCTCTCCCTCCCACTCTATCTGAAGATAAATGCAAAAATGTCCTCGGGTGAGGATAAAAAAAAAAAAAGCAAAACCAAAATACCTTTCCTTGATCTCACTGCTACTCCAGTTGCTATGCTGTTTCTCTGCTCCATATGCACAGCCAAATTTATGGAAGGAGCTGGTGTCTCCATTTTGTCAACATTCAGTCATTCTTAACATTTAATTTAATTTTATTTTTTTAATTTTTTTTTTTTATCCTCACCCGAGGACATTTTTTGTTCAGGTAGAGTGGGAGGGAGAAGGAGGAAGAGAGAGAGAGAGAGAGAAACATCGATGTGAAAGGGACACATCGAGAGGCTGCCACCCGCATGACCGACCAGGGCCGGGGACAAATTGCAACCAAGGTACATGCCCTTAGCGGGAACCGAACTCGGGTCTCTCGGGACCGCAGGCTGATGCTCTAACTGCTGAGCCAAACCGGCCAGGGCCATTCTTAACATTTTAATTACATATGATTTTGTGATTTCATTGTGTAATGTATCAGAGAATCTATGTAACATATATAAATTATGAAACACAATAAAAGTTAACATCTGTAAATCCACACAACCCAACCTAAGAATTAAAACAATAATAATAATGTTGGATAGACCTATGTGCCTCCCTTCCCTTACCCCATCCCCTGTTCACAACTATGAACATTATAGACAAACTGTTGAAAACCAAAGAGAAAAATCTTAGCATCCAGAGGTAAAGGTCACATTACATTTAGGGCAACAACAACAAGAAGAATGCTGGCTGCTTCTCACTGGAAACCAGAAGTGTGGAATGACAGTTCTAAAATGCTAAAAGAAATGAACAAAATCCAAGTTATAGTTCTATATCCAATGGAAAAAATACCTTTTAAAAAATGAAGGCCAAATACACATATTTTCAGACAAGTGAAGCTGAGAACATCAATGGGTCTGCACTACATGAAATTCTACAGGAATTTCCTTTAGAATGTATGAATTCCCTTCATACTGAGGGGAAATGGTCCTAGAATGCAATCAGAATGTGAAGAAAGAAGGAAACACAAGAAATAAGTATGGGGTAAATATAAAAGACTGTTTTTTGTCTTAAAATTCTCAAAGGCCACTTTTAAGACCTTCAGAGACCCCAAGCTGAGATGATTTTGGTGCCCTTGCCCAAATATAATTCACAATTAAATCTAAAATAACTGATAAGTGTAAGGAAGTTAGTAAAAGTTCTGATTTATCCCATGGTGACTATTTCAATGTTTTAAAAAATACCTAATTCTTAAAATTTCCCTCTCTTAATTTTGGTGCCCCTACTTGTATCTTAACACATACTTGATTAGACTCTTAGGTTAGCTAGCATTGGCTGGCACCCAGACAAAAGCATAAGACTCAGAAAAGATGCAGTTACAAATGCATCAAGTAGTAAGAAAGGCCATCACCGGTGAGGATGACTAGCCTCCCAAAGTTTCCTGGGTTGTGGGTCTTTTAATGCTGAAAATGGGACAGTTTTGGATGAACTGTGATGATTGGTTATCCTAACTAGAACCCAAATGAGGTCTCGGGAGACAGCTGACCCTGAGATCAGCAGACAAACAATGATGTTTTGCTGTTGGCAAGAAAGAAAAAAGATCATAAAGGGTGAGACTCATCTTCTCAAAACTGGACTTGCTTGAAGTGAAAATTCTTACTTTTCCCTCTACCACATTTTGTATTGTCTGTTTAACAGATCAAAGATACTCTGTCCCCTTCGCAGCTGATACATTATGAAGGCAAAAACAAAAGGACAGGAAGAGCAGTTCTGCTTGGCAGGTGAGGGATAACAGCTCAAAGTGGCTTACAGACCTCCCTTCTTAAGGGGCATGACTCACTGACACTTCACCCACTTGGCTGAGAGAGGAAGAGGGAAAGGAAACTAACAGTGTCTGTTTTTTTTCCCTCCAGGATAATTCTTGCCATCATCCTATTAGGTAAGAATTATATCAGCCTGATGTTATTTATATGGAACCGGAGACTCAAAAATTTAGCTATTGCATAGCAGAGTAAGTATTTCACTCCCTGGATGTCTAGCTCACAAGCTTATGCTTGTTGCCTGGACAAAGCCCTGTGATCCCCATCTAAATACTGATGAGTATGTATGGGACATGCAAGGGAAGATGCAGAAAGGAAAAAGATGAGCTAGGAATAAAGGCCACAAAAATGCAGAGTTCCTGGGCGGGGACTGGGACCTCTCCTCCTCTAGGAGAGGATTTACAAATTTGATAAAAACTGAGATGTGTGGGAACTTTGATTGATCTATGTGCCAAATAAATGAGATGTCCTGAAAAAGGTGCTGGGGAAGTTGAGGGAGAGAGGGAGAAGGAAAACCAGTAAAAGGGTCAAACATCTAAAGGCTTCTCATTAGGACTATAACCTCAGGATACTTCTGGACTGACCCAACTGTCATCTAAGTAGGCTCTAGAAAAGCATATTTAAATGTTAATTGCAAAATAAAACTTATTTAAAAGAAGGCAAATTGGCTAGAAAAATATACCGTAAGACAAGTGTCATGACTTTAAAGTGGTTTAATGAAAAGCATAGAGTTTGGAGTCATACATTTAGTGACTTACTAATTGGGAGACCCTCAGCAAGTGACTTAACCTTTACAGTCATCCATCGCCACTCTGCGCTTCGACTTTCCCGGCCTTACTCTATCCCGATTTTTTCAAACACTATACTGTATTTGAAAAAAACCACGATAGAGTGAAGCTGCGAAAGTCAAAGTGCAAAGTGGTGAGGGATGACTGTATATAAAGAATCCTACTTCACAGAAATTAATTTATCGCAGTAGTCTGAAACTGATTAACCGTGATAAACGAGGGCAGACTGTATTTGATTCTATAAAATAGAAATAATAGTACTTTGGATGTTGGTATGGGAAGCTCTGAGCCTCAGTGTTCTCATTTTTTTCTTATCCTCACTCTAGAACATTTTTCCATTTTTTGTTCAGATAGGAGGGAGAGAGAGGGAGAGAGAGGAAGAGAAAGAGAAAGATTGACATGAAAGGGACACATTGAGTGGCTGCCACCCACACAACGCAATCAGGGCCGGGGACAAACTGCAACCGTGGTACATGCCCTTAGCGGGAACCGAACCCGGGTCTCTCTGGACCACAGGCTGATGCTCTAACTGCTGAGCCAAACCAGCCAGGGCTAGTGTTCTCATTTTTTAAAAATGGGGATAACAGTACTCACCACACTGTGTCATTGAAAGAATGAGTTTACACATGTAAAATACTTAGAATAATGTCTAGTGCATAGTAAGCATTAAATAGGGGTTAGCTATTATAGTTAATAATAAACAAGCTAATATATTTTGTACACGGCATGTATTAATCTCTGAAATTACCCCCTTTTTTCTAAGTTCCACATGGCAGGAGCTAGGTGCCCAGGACCTAGAATAGGGTCCAGTACGCAGCTGTACTTTAAGGCTCCTTTCTCCACTACATCACAATTACTCTTTCAAGGTTACCAATAACCATCATGCTGCTAAATCTGAAAGACAACCCATTCTCCATTCAGCACCTTAAGTAAATTCTTTAAAATTGAATTAGCTCTCATTCTTCTGCTTAACAAACTTCAATGGATAGCCTTGTATTTACAATAAAATCGAAACTCCTTTCCATGGTTTACATGTCCTTTATGACCTGGCCCTTTGACTTCATTATGTCAGTCTCTATGTTCCAGTGCCACTGGCTCTGTTGTCAGTTGCTAGACCATGCTGAGCTCTTTCAGCCTCAGGGCCTTTGCATTTGTGGTTCTCTCTGCCTGGAACACTGCTCTCCAAGTTGCTAACACAGCTGGCTCCTTCTCAGTATAATACAGTAGTTAGGAAGATAGATTTTGAAATCAGACTGCTTGGTTTCCAGTTCTGGCTCTATCACTTACCATCTGTGTGAGGCAAGTTACTTAACCTGTGTACCTCAGTTTTCTTACCTTAAAAAAGGGATAAAAATGTGTACCTCCTCAGGTTGCTGAAGTATGTCAATTAATATAAAGTGCTTTGAACCATGTCTGGTACCTAGCAAATGCCACATTGATCATCTTTCAATTAAAAACTGACTCCTCAGAGAGACCCTGTTCTTTATCAGAGCACCCAGTACTCATTACAATCTGTAAATATTTTATTTATTTATTTATCCTCACCCGAGGACATTTTTCTTTCTTTCCAGTTTTTGTTCAGATAGAGTGGGAGAGAGAGAGAAAAACATCGACGTGAAAGGGACACAATGAGTGGCTGCCACCCACATGACCAACCAGGGCCGGGGACAAACTGCAACCAGGTACATGCCCTTAGCGGGAACTGAACCCGGGTCTCTCCGGACCGCAGGCCGACGGTCTAACCGCTGAGTCAAACTGGCCAGGACTAAATATTTTATTTTTTGTATACTATTTGTGCTCCATGAAGACTGGGAATTTGTCTTATTTACTATTGTATGCTCAGCACCCAGCATAATGCGTGACAAGATATGTTGAATGATTAGAAAAGTAGTTCTTTTCCTTGCCACCTTCAAGAAAGGTCAGGTGCTATGCCAAGACAGAAAAGAGAAGAGCTGGGATCTGTATCAGTGTTCCAACCACTTAACTCAGCTGAGTGATGAACAGTTATGAGTAAACAAGTAGGTATACCACTGGTATTATTTCTTCATCCAGACCTTACTCATCTGTCAGGTCTCCTAAGGTTGCATCTCCTGTTGGAAGCTCCCTCTGCACTAGGTATGCATTTCTTAACCGAGTCCTGCTTTTATGCTTCTGAGCGATTTCTTCCACATCATCTTAGCTGATGATGCCCTGCCCTTAAAACTTTTGTTCTTGCCCTGGCCAGTTTGGCTCAGCGGTTAGAGCGTCGGCCTGCGGTCCGGAGAGACCTGGGTTCGGTTCCCGCTAAGGGCATGTACCTCGGTTGCAGTTTGTCCCCGGCCCTGGTTGGTCGTGCGGGTGGCAGCCACTCGATGTGTCCCTTCACGTCGATGTTTCTCTCTCCTTCCTCTCTCTCCCTCCCACTCTATCTGTACAAAAAATGGAAAAATATCCTCGGGTGAGGATAAAAAACAAACAAACAAACAAAAAAACTTTTGTTCTTCACTTTTCCTGAGCTTCTTGCCCAATGTTGGGCCAACAGAATATACTCAGTACAAGCTTGGAGAGTGACCACTGTGACTGCCTTTCAGGAAGCTGGCCCAGGGTAGTTCTGCATTCTGCACTTTACAGATGAGATGATGACTCTACAGGAGAGGAAATTCTTACCTGATCTGTTGTGGCTGGTGGTGGCAATGCTGTAGAAACTGAGAGTATCCGCAGGGAGGCCTCTAACTGCTGGGGAGGCAAAAAGAAGTTGGGCACCACAATGGGTTCTGGGCTATAACGGTAGTTAAGGGACACATACACCTAGAAATCCTCCCACTTGTCAGACCAGACCTTCACCAACCTCAATCACCCCCATTCATTTTTCCCCCTGAACCTATTTCTGCCCATGGATCCTTTGCTCAAGTGGTTCCTCCTGCCTGGAAGGCCATCCCTACTCCTAACAAATCATAGTCTATGCTTTCTTTATGGGTCAGTTTATTATTATTTTTAATCCTCACCTGAGATATTTTCCCATTGATTTTCAGATAGAGTGGGGAAGGGACGGAGGGAGAGACATTGATGTGAGACAGACACATCGGTTGGTTGCCTCCAACATGACTCCAACCAGGGACCAAACTGCAACTGAGGTACGTGCCCTTAGCCGGAATCGAACCCACGACTCTTTGGTCTGCAGGCTGACATTCTAACCACTGAGCCAAACTGGCCAGGGTTATGGGTCAGTTTAAATCCCACCTCCTCGCCCTGGCCGGTTTGGCTCAGCGGTTAGAGCGTCGGCCTGCGGTCCAGAGAGACCCGGGTTCGGTTCCCGCTAAGGGCATGTACCTCGGTTGCAGTTTGTCCCCGGCCCTGGTTGGTCGTGCGGGTGGCAGCCACTCGATGTGTCCCTTTCACGTCGATGTTTCTCTCTCTCTTCCTTTCTCTCCCTCCCGCTCTATCTGAACAAAAAAAATGGAAAAATGTCCTCGGGTGAGGATAAAAAATAAAATAAAATTCATAAATCCCATCTCCTCTAGGAAGCTTTCTCCTGATCTTAGCTGACAGTGATCCCTCCTTCCTCCTAGTCTAGGGCAGAGTCTGCAACATAGGATGCTTGATGATTTAGTCTGATATGAATCTGAATGTGTTTTTCTCAAAATTCCACAAGCTTCTCAAAGGCAAAGATGGTTCAGTTTCTATGTTACATTACTACTTCCCTAGAGCTCCACATGAAGTTGGTAGGTAGCAAGCACTGAATGACAGTTGCTCAGGGCGTACTGGGCAAGCTGTTAGAAGTTAGTCAGAAAAGGTGGCTCCAAAGGGGAGTGTCTGAGATTGGAGGGAGATGCCTGGTAATGAAGGAGGGTTGGGCCCTAGCCAGTTTGGCTCAGAGGTTAGAGCGTCGGCCTGCGGTCCGGAGAGACCTGGGTTCGGTTCCCGCTAAGGGCACGTACTTAGGTTGCAGTTTGTCCCCAGCCCTGGTTGGTCGTGCGGGTGGCAGCCACTCGATGTGTCCCTTCACGTCGATGTTTCTCACTCTCTCTCCCTTCCTCTCTCTCCCTCCCACTCTATCTGTACAAAAAATGGAAAAATATCCTCGGGTGAGGATTAAAAAAAAAAAAAAAAAAAAAGGAGGGTTGGTCTTCCTAGTTGTTCTCTGCTCACATCCAGAAATGAGGGCTCTGCCTAAGTGTGCACAGTTGGTCTACCCAGTCTGGATGTAAGCCCTTGAAGGCAGATACTAGATCTTGCACTTCTCTGTATCCTCTGGAGATATCCAGCACTATGCAGAGAACAAATATTTGTTCAAAGCACTGATTCAGTTTGGGAGGGGAGAGAGGGAGCCATTTTGATGTGTAAGTTTTTGT